AAAATTTAATAATTGCTTCGCTTCTGCAAAGGTTAAACAGTTTACAACCGCTTCTAATGTCTATTTGCCAAAAAAAAATTAAAATCTTGATATTGAATTAATAAGTATATATTGGATTAGTATTGGTTGGTATTACCTTTTCATTTACGTCAGCTGGTTTATTTATTCTTGAATCTTTCTGTAAGGCAAATTGCTTGATTGCATTATATATAACTAAATTTTCAAAGTATTCAAGCTTGTCTTCCAGATAAACATCCTAATATATATGATAAACGTAACGCGTTAATAATATGTTACCTCGCGTTTAATATAACACTTACGCGCTTTCTTTAACCTGATTCTGTCCTTTCGTTGTTTCTGGAGAAAATTTTGAAAACATATTACAAATAATCCAATTAATCGCAATTTTTTTTATTAGCGTTAGAGATCATACAAAACAATGTTATTCCAGCCGAGTCTTTATCACTGATCTTTATTTATCTCGGCATCTCAGTCAGGAAATATACCAAATTAGGGTGACCATTTTAGCCGGCCTAGCGCTAACGGCTAAAAATTTGGTATGCCATATGACATGCCATATGGCAAAAATTCATACCATACCATGCCATTGTATAATTATTTATATACTGTATATAATAAAATATCGCAGAGTGATGCATTTAGTACGGGGTATTAAATCAAAAACACCCCAATTAACTTGAGGTATTTGAACTTAATTTTTAGGCAGAGGATTCATTTTATTGGTTTTATTGAACACTACTAGTATTGCAAGCCTAGAATTTCGCGCGATGGTATTAAAATACAGTCAACTCTTCGTAAATGCATCCTCGACAAGTGAACTTTTGTCATGATTTTCCCTCTATAGTACATATAATTGATCAGTACAATATAATGATCCGAAAATTTAGAATTTATTTTAGTTCGCATAACAGATAAGTGCACATCTTTTATGCCGTATCGTTATTTCAGCTCCCTATGGTATTTTAACCAATCAAAATTACTTATACAATAATAATATACCTAACGCCAAGCCAAATAGTGGCACAACAATGATCTCCACAAATCGGAGTTTTGATTAACCTCTATAATTACTGATAGTCTTTCTACGTATTTTTTTTTTCTTACATATAAAAATTTTGTTAAAGTTATGATTATTAACATTAGTAGAAAGGGGAATTTCAGCATTGATAGGTATGTTTAAATCTTGAAAAAAACAACTCTGCGTTATCCGATCGGTGTTCCTCGCGTATATTATATAACATGCGTAATATTTGCGATTTGAACTGATCGAAAACAAAAAAAACTGCACAATATGATACTTCTTAAGTAATGATTTTGTTGCAGAGTCTAAACTTCATTCCAATTTCACTTACTCGAAATTGAGAATGTTGAATAATAAGACTGATAATTTATTATTTTTTTTTTATTTTAGGATCTGAAGTTCATATATGACTTGTAATTTAAGTTGCCATATACAGCAAGTTCGAGTGTTCTTTTTCTTAATACAATTTAGTAATTTTGAACCTTTAAATCTCGATCATATTTAGCATCTTCAGAACGTATGGACGTTCAATGTGAATTTACTTTTAGTTCAAGAGCTTAGTAGCTAATTTGTACGCTCATTTTTTTTGATTAGTAGTAGAAGCAATTTCATCCTTTTGATTTACAAGATTTTTTTTTTATTTATAAAAAAAGGTTTATTTTTTTATTAGGATCAGAAAGGTTATATTATTTATTTACTGGTTATTAGTAAATTATATTTTTGATTAAATAAATTTAATAATCTTTAACAATATGAATATTATTAGTTATTATATAGAAAAATATTAAAGGTGTCTTCATGTATTTCTTTTGTATAAATTAAATAAGTATAATATTAATATTAGGGTTAGAGTTAAAATTAGAGTTATTTATTAGTAAAATTATACAAAAAATATTTTTTATTAGTCATATACTATATATATAACAGAGATTATTTTAATAAAATTTTGTAATACAAAATAATTTAAATATACTATTAATATTAGAGTTAGAATTAAAGTTGAATCAGATTTAAAAGAATATTTTTTTAAACTAGCCTTTTTGAGGTTAAGACTTTTTATTCAAGTATTTAGTGAGCAGGAGTTTTAGCAGAACCTCTTATATTAAAGAGTATATTAAGTTTTATATATACTTATAGTGTTTAATTTAAGTAGTCTGCCTATATAGGTTTTATACTAGATGTTATATTTGCAATTTAACAACAGGTGTTGTTTATTTAAACTCTTTATAATGCTCTACTTATATTATTAGTATATTCTTTGTTATATAAGGAAGTTTCAGATTCTTAATCTATTTTTTTAAAACTATTGGTATGGTTAATTAATTCATTCTCAAAATATCATTTGCTAAAGCTTTTTGTATTAACAATCTGATTAATCTAGACTTCAGTAATTTACATTAAGTCCAAAGACAAATACTAACAAGCTAAGATTACTATTATTACCTACTACTGCTTTTGTAAAGTTTATCTAAACTCTAGTATCTACTTTATAGACTATTAACTATACTTTAAATTATTTTAAACTTCTAATTTTGATAGCCTAAAAGAGCTGTAATCTGCTTCTGGTCTTTATAGTTAGTTCTTTTTTTCAATTATTCATCTAGTAGCCTAGTTGATGAAGTGTCTTGTCAAACATTTAGATCTTATTTAGTTTTTCTATTACTTTCAAATAATAATCTTTTATATAGTATTATTAAAAATTTGTGCTATCTTTCTACTCAGATCTTACCAAATAGGTTTTTGTTATCCAATTCACTAGATTTACTTAGCAACTTCACTCAGATTTTGTATAATTTATATATTATATTAATGTTTTACTACTTTTTAGTACAAACTGATATGACCCTATTACAGATGCTGATTTAATAAAATATAATTTTCTAAATATATTCTGTAAATTCAAATTTTATTACCAGTAAAATTTGAACTCTTAGCCTACTGCTTGAGGTGCAACAACTTACTTACTTCATTAAATCATTATACTATAAAGAATAGTTTTTATTAGTTTTATAACAGAAATTATTTTAATAAAATTTTAAATAAAAAAATTTTAAATATTGATTCATTATTATAATAATCCTTATAATTAGCTAATTATTTTTAAAATTAGAAATCATATATAAATAATAATAGATATTGCTATTTGTACTATTAGTTTAATCAGAATTAGAGTTAGTTTTAGCCAAATTATTGGTGTAAATAACAAAAATCATAATGCAAATAGCAATTTCTATAATAATAATTTTATTTTTATTTTTATTTTAAATAACCTTTCTTTTTTTTAAAAAATATAGTTTTTATTATTAGAATTATCATTAGAGCTATTATTAGAACTATTATTAAAGCTTTAATTAAAACTATCGTAAAGTTGAATCTCATTGTTTTAATATTATTATTTGTATACTGTTATTTATATATCATTATTTATAGAAATTTTAGAAAAAAGTATTTACAAATACATTTTGAAAAACACTATAATGACTTTTTGAATTTTAGATATAAATTAAAGATATATTTTTTTCATTTATTTTTTTCATTTAATTTTTTTTGTTTGATTTTTTTTCACTTTATATTTTTTGAACTAACTATATATGCACTGAAATAGGGTTTTAAAAAACTCTATTTCATCTTTATTAAAACAATTTGAAAATTTTTATATGCAAAAGCAAATCTAATTTAGATAATTATGTATTTTATAATTTCATCTCTTTAAAAAAAGTATTAAAAAATTTTGTATTTTAAGTAAAATAAATCAAAAACAATTTCATCTTCAAATTTTAATTTTATATTCCAAAACCTAAAATAATTTCATTAGTATATATAGAACTAACAATTTTTTTTTTATAAATTTGTCTTCAGAACCAGATAGTCGAAAATAAAATTAATTTCATGATAATTTCAGGCTTTTATCATTTTGGTGCTATTATTTGTATACTAATGTTCATAGAAATTTTAAAAAAAAAGTATTTGCAAATATACTTTGCAAAATACTACACTTACTTTTTTAAATTTTGAATATAAATTGAAAATAGTAAAGTATTAGTGAATACATCTTACAAGAATATTATGCTAACTTTTTCTTAAGCCTAAATGATAGTACTTCTGAATCAAAAAAAGAAATATTAATTAATGCATCTTATAAAAATACTATACTAACTTTATTGAGATAAGTGTTATAGTTTTAAATCACAAGAAGAAAAAGTTTTAGCAGGCACACTTTGCAAGAAACTATATTGGCTTTTTTAGATCTAAAAAGGCATCAATATGCTAACAATAATTTATACTGCATGCATATCACTTCTGTAGTCTGTAAGTTCTTAATAAGATTTTTTTTAATTATAATACAGATCAATACATATACTAATAATAATTCTAATTAATCCACAAACTATATATATGCATCAGCTCTATAGTAGAAAAGCATAAACAGATGCATTTTATAAGACAACTTGCTAACTTTTTTTGAATTTAAGTCTTATAGTTTTGGATTACAATGAGAAAAAGTATTAGCAGATACTTTTTACAAGAATATTATACTGCTTTTTTTAGATCTAAGTGGCAATATTCCTGAATTAGAAGGATGATAAAATCTAATTCATACTGTGTGTATTATTTTTATAGTTGTAAGTTCTTAATAAGATTTTTTTTATTACAATATAATAAATACACTAACAATATTTCTAATTAATTAATATACTATATGTTACTACAGCGAGCAAAGTTCTTAATCTATAATACAAATTAATACACTAATATAATTCTAATACTAGGATTCAAAGTATAGCTTTAGCTTAAAGGCATGCCTCTTTAGGAGTGCTTTAAGTTTTTTAATTTTAGAGCATGCCTATAGGCATATATAGTTGACTCTTTCTAAATGCATTGCATTGGGACCAAACTTTTAACAACATGCATTAAGAGAACAATTAAAAAAATACATTTAGTTGTCGCACCTCCAAGTGGCAAGACAAGAGTTCGAATTTCACCAGCGACAAAATTTGAATTTGTGGAAATGCGTTATGGTAAAACTGTATAACATGTCGATTAAATCAGTACCTGTAACCTTGGTCTCACCAACTTGTATTAAGAGGTTGTGAAACG